GAGGAGAAGAGGAAGGAGAGGGGGGAGAGGAGGAGAGAGGAGGAGGGGAAAGGGGAGAGGGGGGAGGGGAGAGGGGGAGAGGGGGAGGGAGGAGAGGGGGAGAGGAGAAAGGGGGAGAGGGGAGAGGAGGAGAGGAGGGGGTTCCAAGAGAATTAATGTAATTATCACAATTCTTTCCAATTTGATTTTTTAACAAATTTTTTTTTTTCTCGCTCGAACTGACTGGTGCTGCCGGCTGTCCCTCGTGCCTTTCAGCTGCAATTTGAATCGTGTCGCAATTGTCGTATTGAATTGCATTATCGTCCCTCCCTAGGTCTTTCCCTCCCGCACTTTCACTTTATCTCCTCGTCTGTCTGGCTCTCGTTATTTAGCAGTTAATTTGTGTATCCTCTCCTTTGTTTTCATCTCTCTCTCTCTCTCTCTCTCTCTCCCTTTGCCTCTTCCTCCTCCCTCTCCCTCTCTTTCTCTCCCCCCACTCTCTCTTTTCTCTCTACACCGCCCCGCCCCTCTCTCCCTCCCTCCTTCCACTTCTCTCTCTCCCTCTCCTATACCTCAGCCACGAGCATGGCGCTGGAATCACACGCAGAACCCTTTCCACGGGCTCAAAAGAAGTCCAACCCGACCGAGGGAGGCAAGGCAAGCAGAAAAATCAAGACGATTGAATTATCCATCGCAGAAAATCTAGGCAGAAAAATTGCACCCGCGGAGGAGCAACATTCGCAACAAAAAGCATTCCTCTCATAATGGGAAATACAATACATCCTCGTTTTACATTTCAGGAAATTTACGAACAAAATTTAGGAGTGAAACTGGCGCAATAATCTTGGGGCGAGGCAGTAAAGACGGCGTGATAGATGGCGGTAAAACATTACTACCGACGCTGGGTCCTGGCCAAGGGAAGAAAACATTTATACGGACATTTCTTCAAATCCTGCACTAACGGTACTCTAACGCACGTACATGGCGACATACATACTTGCTTACATATAAATATACACATACACATGACTATATATCTATACATCCACACGCACAACTTACGTCCATTTCGAGATCCCTTCACCATAATTACCTGCATTATCCAACGCATCCCTTACAGTGTCCCTCCCATTACCCGACCTCGCAGACGCCATGCACACACGTCAATAACGACACCAGCTTCGCATGGCAGGTGTTCTCCTTGTCCTGAGCGGCTCCTTTGTTTCGTCTCCCTCCGTCCCCAATGGCTTCTTCGGAGCGTCACGAGGAGGGGATAAGAATTCAAGGAGGAGATTAACTTGAAGGAAAAAGCAAGCGTAAACATTAAATGAGAAAGCGGTTCATGAAATGGGGAAAGAAAACGCGTCCTCCTCAACATTTACAAAGCCACTCTCCGCCATCTAAACTCACCGGGACTAAGTGCTATTTTTTTCTTTTTTTTCTTTAAGAGTGTCTCGTTGACTCCTTGTCGATCCTGGAAAACGTGTAACACTGAAGTAATCGCAGGAGTAACGCGCAGCATCGAACTCCGGGCCCCGGGGAGGTCGACGGCGCGCGGGCGGGAAAAAGATGGAGGAGAAGGATTTTCCTCGCGACGGGAAAATTGGTCAGGATTACTGTCCATCTCTGTCAGGCAGGTCTATGCAGGCCTACTTACCGCCCTGCACCCCGCCCTCTCTTTTCACTTTTATTCACAATTCTCTGAAGTGGATTTAGCACCATACATTTTACAGAAAAAGTGTGCAGACAGATTTCTTTTCGAAATGCGAAAATCGTAAAGCGTGAGAACGAAAGTTATGCACGCGCGCATGCATACGCCTCGTCGCGAACTTTCCCTCATAACTAAGGCGTCCCCCCCGCCCCTCTTATCCCCTCAAGCCAAGGAAAGTTACCTCAAGCACACCGAGCAACAGGCAGAGGATGCTAATCGAGTTCAGGTGACAAAGTCCTTCCCTCTCATTCCATAGTTCGAGCTCTTTGTGCTCGCCGTCATGAAAGTTCCGCCCGCCTCGCCGCCGATTCCGCCCGCACTCTAACGGATAAAAAAAATCGGGACAACTGCCATTCCGCAGCGCTTTATCTGACTTTACATACACTGCGCTATGTCAGATAGCCAACCTCGATGAAGCTGAAATTGAATTGGCTCACGGAATCCCGTCGAGATGGTGGCTCGTGGCTCGTACCTTTGCCGAGGGAGGTTTGCACTCTGTCTTTCACCTTTACACGCGGACGTATTTGTATACACTATACGGACACAGGTCCTTATCTATGTATAATTAAAAAGGAAAATAGGGGATTGGAGAGAAGATGGAGTTGAAGAGGAAATGATTGCAGACCAGAAGATAGTGAAGGGGATCTGAATAAAAGAGAAAACAATAAAGATAATAGGAACAGACTTCAGAATGAACCAGTCATTAGCAAAGACTAAAGGATGAATAAAAATGGAATGGGCGACGAAAATACGGGAAATGGGAGGGAAGCCGGGGACGGTTGGGAAATGAGGTAAAAGGAAAGCGAGTGATTAAAACTAAGGAAACATAAAAAACATGATGAACTGATTGAAGGGTTGAAATGGGAATAAGGAAGAACCAAATGAAGGAAGAGAGACCCTAGACGCTAAAGAGGAAACACACGCCAGTGAGAAACGAAAGGAAACTGAGTAAGAAGATAAGGACGAAGGGGAAACGAGTGAAGGAGCGACGGAGGAGAGCCGAAGAGAGTCGGATTCAGAGCATTGCTATCCATCCCAGGTCTCATCACCATAATCCATACTCTCTTGTCAATACCTCATAACAATGGCAATGCCGACCTCGCGCCTTGCTTTCTACACTCGGAACAGGAACAGCCACAAGGTCGGTGTTGTCACAGCGTTCGGGTCCTCTTCTGACCCTTATGGATAACCAGAGAATAGCCCGTTTGTGGCTGCGCTCCAAACCGTAGCATTCGTAACGAGAGGTCCGCCAGCCCGCCGACGCCTGGACGGCCACCACCGCCTGCTCGATCGGGGGTCGTGGCTTTGGGGGAAACGAGGGCACGGTTTGCGAAATATCGAACATTGGATATCGTTTCATTGTATATTCACTGAGAAAAAGAAAGGATATATTTTCTAAGGACAAGTATATTTTCAGGAAACGTTACCCGATGCCTCCCTGAGCACAAAAATACCGAAAACGTAAAAAAAAAGCATACACCAGGACATACGAAATCAACTCGCCGAGACTCCCTCGCCAGCCCAATTCCAGCCGAGCCAAAGCCGCGCGTCCGCATTCACCCATTCCGGAACATGAAGCTTAGCGTTTCCTGGCATTACCGGCAGCGAAGGGAGCCGGAGTATAATGCGATCAATGCGTTCCATTACTTCGTATTCCGAACCTATGTGCCTGATAAATTGACTATATCAAGGGGGTAAATTGGATATGTTAATTAACTCGCCGTCGGAGGAGGAACGTTCCGGGAAATCAGGGTTCTTGATGCAAATCCTACGCCATGTCTACAGCTCACTCGACTACAGTTCGCTCTTAAATCCTCTCTCTCTCACGCTTACGTCACCGGGACATGGCGCGACTCGCACGGCCCCGCCACCTGTGTCCATCCCTAGCTAACTACGAGTAAGAATGTATACTATTTTATACAATTAAACTACCGCAAGATTCGACCTTCCATTGGTTCTTACAATTTCTTCCAGCGCATTGTTTTGCATAAACTCTCATACCGCGGATAAACCAAACAGGCACGCACACACACAAACACACACACACACGAAAATAATGGCGGCGGGCTGAATTCCGTAACATTCCCCGCAAAATCAAAGTCGTTATGCCAACACATATAAGCAGGCGGGAGAAGGGAAAATGTGTGATGTGGGAAGACAGCATGGAGGGCCAGACGAAGAGAAAGAAATGAAACAGGCGGAGAATACGAAGAGACGAGGCGAGACAGACAGAGAGACGCAGACGAGAGAGAGAGAGAGAGAGCTGAGAGAGAGAGAGAGAGGAGACGAGAGGACCCGAGAGAGAGAGAGAGATAGAGAGAGAGAGAGAGAGAGAGAGAGAGAGAGAGAGAGAGAGAGAGACGAAACCCAACCACCAGGACCATATGTTCCAGTTATGTAATTCGTACCACCCGCACTACTTCCGCCTGTCGAGAACCTCATTCAAGCGTCACGGCGCAAAGACGCAACTAAAACTCTCCTGGAGACGACAACCGCCGTGAATGCCAACGTTTCGGATCCCCGAGCCATCGCCGTGCTCATAATGAACGCGCACACCGGACGCAGCCACTGCAGATAAATCCAGTGTATCTGACTGAATAATAAATGCAATGAGAAAATGTGCTGTATGCTTTTATCTCGAAGCACATGAATACATGAATTGTTAATGCTAGTGAAAATTTCTGAGGGCGGTACTGAAGGGGAGGGAAGGGGAGGGAAGGGGGAAGCGGCCGGAAAAGAGAAATCGTCCAGGGGAGGGAGGGGCGGGCGGGGAATGCAGGGCCAGAGAGACGAAAAGGATAGTAAATCAACAAGAAATAAATAATTATCATAACGGCCATTGGACCTTGGACAGCTTTCACTTACTTCCCTAATCCCTCACAGTCATATACACACAAAAACACAGATACACAGACAGACAGACAGACAGACACACACACACACACATAACTATACACACAACATACACGTACACATACGGCACACAGTAAAATACCAAGATGGAAAAAAAACAAAACCTGCGGAGAGAAAGAGCGAGAGCGCCCCACGGCAGGGAACGACCTCCGATCGAGGCCGCGCGATGCTTAAGGTGCTCATCAGCTGGTCGGCCTGAATGAATGGAACGCCAAAGGTGGAAAAAATGAGACCGGAAGAACATCCCCTTGGCCCGCCGGGCCCCGGGCACGAAAGGACTGGGCGCGGCGGGGGGGGGGGCGGGGATGTGAGAGATGGAGGGGGAAAGGGAGCGGCAAGAGGTGGTGGCAGCGGCGATGGTTTCGGCGCGGAGGAGGTCAGTGTGGCTGAGCGCGCCGTGGCGGTAGGACTTGTACGCGGCAGCAGGAAGTGATCTCGTGGTCGCGCTCCCCTACTCGGGGTCACTAATCGCCCGTGTGGATTACCGGCGCAAGGATAGTGCTGGATTCCTACTGTGAACTTTTATATTATATGCTACTCCGAACCGTCCATCTCAACTAGAAAGGAACAACGACCAATAAGTTATCAAA